GACTGTCTTAAGTAAAAGCCCGTTTATTTATTCAAATGATATGATTTTTGCTAGTGAGACGATTGACGAACACATTAAAGGTTTTTGCCAAGTGTTTTCGCTTCTAAACGAAGCAGGTCTAAAAGTGATGCCTCTAAATGTAAATTTGCGGCCATGTAACTTCGTTATTTAGGCTAAAACACATCGAAAATGAAATTGAAACAGAAATTTAAAAAATAATAGCTATGAAACATTACACTCCACCTAATACTGCAAAGATGTTATTTTAATGTTTAGGCATGGGTTCATATAATAGGATTTTTTATTCAAAAATTCCCTAAAATAGTTGAACCCCTTGTCAAAATTAAAGGAAAGAAAAAAGCCATATCTACTTAGTCGACTGAAACAAAGTCTGCATTTAAACAACTTAAACAAGCATTAATTCAAGCATCGGTATTAAAATTTCCTGAAGACAATGAAAACTTGGAAATCACTCTGATCTTACCTCCGATTACGCAGTGACTGCTATTCTATTCAAAAAGGTCAACTAGTTGCATACTTTAGTTAATTTCTCAATCCTACACAAAGAAATTACACGGTTACAGAACGGCAAACCTTCGCAATTCAGAAAGCAGCAGCAGTTAATAGCAGTTCAGAAATTTACAGAATGTTTTGGGAAAGCTTCTTTGACAATACATTCGGATCACTCAGATTTGGGTCGTTTGTACTCAAGAAAGAATTTAACTTCAGGACTGATTAGATAGGACTCTAAATTTCAAGAGTTCAACCTTATCATTAAACATACACCTGGAAAGGAAAATTAGGTGGTCGGTGCTTTATCAAGAATAAAATTAGGTGAGGGGAAGAATACGCTAAATGTTCTACGTTTACTGAAAAAGACCTTTATTCACGTGAAACTATTATTGCTGGGTTACAAACGGATCCTGAACTTAAAGACATTTATGCCTATCTAAAAGATCCTGACCATTTGGAGCACCAGGATATTACGGCAATTAGGAAAACAGCCGCAAATTATGAAGTCATCGACAATCTCTTATTTTATGCAAAAACTACTGATGAAAATAGCATTTTGCAGGAATTTCATGATTCATCAATACCAAGTCACCTTTGACTAAGAAACACGGTGCAGTGAGTTGGTGAGGCTGTTTATTTTTCGCCGGTACAACAGTTTATTAGTCAGTTATTTGCCAGTTAGTTAACGAAGCTAATTAAAACCCGGCCAGGTATCTAAATAGCATTAAAGCTACTTTCTAAAATTAAATTTATAGAACTCCATAAATTAATAGGAGACTTATTAGGTTCATACCCATATAGTGAAGTTAATAAATATAAATATTTATAATAAATTATATAATATTGTGGATAATTTTTCTAAGTGAATAGAAATAGTCTCATTCAAAATAGAAACCGCAAAAATTGTTTCAAATTCTTTTATAAGTAAGTATCTAAAATACAGAACACCATTTTAAGTAATTTCAGACAACGAAAAACAATTCGTTATTCAAATATTTCAAGAATTATGCGATTACAGCATTTAAAAATAGTACCTAATCTGTAGTTAAATATAGCTTATCAGGTAAATAAGAATATAGTTCAGGTTATACGTTGCGATATAAAAAGCTATCATAAGCCCTGGGATGACTGCGTTAATGAATTAGCATTTGCTATGAGGTCGGCTAAACATGACATGACAGAGAAGACAACAGCAGAATTATTTCATGGAAGAAAATTTTCTTGGAAGGGCACCAGAATTTAAGATTTTGATCATCCAAAAATTGGTAGACGAGGCTATTTAAATTTCCGATATGGCAAGAAATAAACAGAAGCTGGATTTCTATAAAAACGTAGTGACTATAATATCAAGGTGGGATTTCTCGAAATTGCTATCAGGCATACACAATTATAGTTACATAGGGCAGGATATAGTTAAAATTACGAAGGAATTGGACCAGTTACAGTTACACAAGTATCCGATCAAAATGTCGCCAAATGGTCACTAAGTTTGGTGACTAGCAATTTGTCGCCATATGCCATCTTGGCGCTATCTCGCCGCTATTAATATTAAATGCACTTAGCCTGTAATTCTATTTTTGCCGCGATGCTTCGCTCTCAGAGGTGTTTCATGTTACATTATACAAGTGATACTGCAATTTGCGCAGAATTCACTAAGTCTATTTACATATATACAAAATTCGTAATAATGTAGTGTATGGAAAAAAGTTATACTCTTTATAAAAAATAAAACACAAAAGTTTCTATATGACACAAACTGACAGAGATTTCAACTGGCATCTAGAGGGGTTGGTTAGTAAATAGTACATTAGAATAAGTCGAGGTGTTTTTTTTTTTTTTAATGCGCTTCAGTGATGTTCTTTTATAATCTAGTAGTGTCTTTAATTTATAATTTTGTTGTATTTGGTTCTATTATTGGTTCAGTTTTTCTTATTTTTTTTATTTTTTGTTATAATTTGATTGGTACATATCCGGTATATTTGAAATAGCTATAGAAATTTTACATGAATAATATAGAAGTTTTCAAAATCTAAAAATACATTCTTATTAAATTTCTTTTAAAATCCTAGTGTTAGAATCATAGAATAAATTCATTTAACTACAAATATTCTTTTTTATTATTTTTAATTAGAGCAAATGAGATTACAAGTTGGCTATGTGAAATGCTAAAGCATGCGATGCTTTTCGAGACCATAAATTTAGTAAGATTCTGTGAATAAGGTCTCCATTTTGAAAACATTTCTATTGATTAATATTCTTCACAAGAAAGCATAGAAATGCTCGTTATTAAAATTTCTTAACAGCAGGAACCTTTTTTGAAGCTGATATTTTATTCTTAGTAATTTTCAAATGCAAATATCTCGATCTTCAATTTGTGTACGGCTCCTGAATATGAAGTTAGACTTTAATAGTGAATATCTCGATTAATTTTTATCATACGGATACCAGACTTTTATGTTTTATTTTTAATGTTAAGTATAATGTATTTCTAAATATATATGTAGGAACGGGCTAAACGTTCAAAAATGTACATTTCGTTGTTCTCAAATTGATTTATTTAAATTTAAAAATGCCGAAACGAGAATCTTTGAGTCATTTAAAATTTGTATTAGGAATTATATATTTAAGACCAACGGTTGCAAAAATAAAGGCCAGTAATGACGTTTGTGAGCACAGTGTATAATCTTTTGTAACTCGTGCTATATTTATTGTTTAAGCCTTCAAAATGTTGTTATGTATGTATTTTTGTTAAATATAAAAATATGTGTTATTTTATAATTTACCTTTTTTATAATAATGCAGCATTTCTCTAAATTTAATGCATAACTATTATCACAATATTCCAGTTTCTTACTGATATTATATTTAAAACATAATATAATAAATAATATGGAGTTAAAAATGTATTGAAAAGTAAATGTAATAAATAAAGTACATTGAGTTAAAAGTTAATAAATGATAATAGCGCAATTTTCTCAGCAAAAGAAATATTACGAATCTCTCATATTAAATCAAAAGAAAGGTAAATCTAAACTCTAGTCAGGTTGAAAACTTTTTGTCTCATGCGGCCTAGTTTTAACCCACTTGAATCTAGCGATTACTTTCAGAACCTTTGAACACATAAATTTCTTGTAGAAAATTGTATATGTTTTCGAATTACATTAAAAGATTTTGTAAAGGGATTAGTTAAAATCTCATGGTATTTGTGTTATTCAGATGCTCTTCATCTAATATCAATATCAACATTTTTCTTTATCAATTAACATTAAGCCAAAGGAAACTACTTTCCGTGAGTGTAGTTTCTAATTCCTTGAGGAGGATTTGAAAGTTTACAGGACCTGTCTTTTACAAATTAATTTACTTCCTGTATTGTTCGATACAGTTTCTAACTGTATTGTTCGATTTCGAATTTATTCGAGTTTGGGATCTTCAATTTAAATTATCAGCAGCAAAGAGTTATATCTCAACCTAGTTAAAAACAAGAACTGATATTGTAAACCATTACACTAATTCCATCTCAACAGAAGAATCCGTTACATTCTTGACATTATCTGCATACGTCTTCTTGTCTGAACAAATGATCTTAAAAGATACAGAAGGAAAAAATAAAAATTTAACTAACATTTCTAATTATTAAAAAATATAATATCAAGCACTGTTTTTCCTCTATTTTGTAGGTTAGATGATATCTAAATAAATTTGCAAGTAATTATTAACTAAATGGTAATATATTTTATGTGGTTCAAAATGTGAGCAGAAATGTAATCTTATCTCCTTACCTTGGCTAAATTATATTTGCATTAAAGAACACGTACACAATTTCAGTAAAGAAAAACTAAGTAATCTTTTCACAGCTAGTCATTGTTGATTCTTAGTATATTTAAGATTCAGTTCCACTCAAATTATCCACCAAAAGTTTCTTTATATGGTGAATTGTGTATCCTCAAAGACTCACATTCATCTACATTGACGAATGATATTAATTCTATTCTAGCTTTCCCAAAGCTTTTAAATTTGAATCTTTTAGTTTCTTACATCATTTTTATTTCTATTTTGCCTCTAGCTGGATAGTATTATGTTTGCTCAGTACTTTATGCTTGATTTGTGGTCTCGCTTCTGTGCAGAATTTCTTTATACTTAAAGAAGAGGAACTTTGTTAGCTGCCTCAAATCGGCTGAGGTTTTTGGAAACCCAATGCTAGCCTAACACTAAAATTTTGCTTAATTTTGTAATTGACTTTAAGATGTTCGTATGTCTTTTACATAGCAAATCAGCACCCAAACTAAGCATTTGTCTCAGATAGGATAGGAATGTAGAAAGTTTAAATTAGTTTCTGATGTGAAAAAATCAGTCAGAAATCATTGTGTTGCCTTTTTAACGCATGACAATATGTGCATTGTAGAAGGAAATATCCATATTATTTATTATCTTTATCAAAATAATTTAAGTCATATTTCACATTCTACTTGAAATTTTCTGTTTTATAGTTTTGCTCTCATCCAGATACTTCGGACAAAGAGTTATTCCCAACCTTCGCAAGGACTCGTCCATCCGATACTCATATCTCCAGGTCTGTCGCTTCTCTGCTGTTGACATTCAGGTGGATGAAAATTGCTTTTCTGTATTCCAGCAACCAAGAAGGCAATTTTAAGGAAGTATCGAGAACTATAGTTAGTGTTCTAGATGATTCAGGCATACAAATCGGGTTTATGGGAACATGGCGAGACACTTACCATCATGGATACGGAGAGAATCCATTTGAATCTCTCGTCCAGGATTCGTATCAAGAAGCTCGAAGTAAGTTATAAATGTTACATATTAATAACAATGTCTGAAGCTCGAAGCAAATTTTAAGTGTCACAAATTAATAACGATTTCTGAAGCTCGAAAGGCTACAGACAAAGAAAATTTTTTGAAAATATCACCTCTTGAAAATAAAATCGTACAGCACATCTGACTTTTGATCTCCGTTTTAGTAACAGTTTTAGCTTCATGATATTTGAAGAGAAACACGACATTGAAGAATGTAGGTAAAACAGCTATGTTATTTTGGAATAAATTTTAAATAAAACTCTATCGGTTTGAAGAGCAGTCAGACACAGGTCCCTATTTTCTAGGAGTAAATAAATTCTGTAACGAAGAGAGGAGCGATGGCCGCATTTATGTTAAAAACAATAATTTTTGTTTTGCATGTAAGGGATTACTAGAAAGTTATTTATTAGATTAGCTCTAAATAGACAAGGATTTCCATCCATAAAAATGAACTGAGAACCAACAATATTCCTGAAACGAAAATACAGATTCTAATATCTTTTCCATTTATCTCGAAGCAATCCCACAGTCTCTGTCAAAGACATAACTTTTACAAAAAAAGGAAGGTTTATGCTTCCGTCCCTGCCTGTCCAAACCATCAAACATTCGCTGCCATACTGATTCTATTTTCCGATGTCCAGGTTTTCTTGAGATGAAGGCACTTCGTGAATCATTGTTTAGGCTGAAACAAGACTCTTCTGTGAAGAGAACGACCCTTCGTCGGTGCTTGAAGTCAATGTTCGCTGCACCTTGAAAAACTGGTTCATTTTTATATAGAATTGGTAGCGAACTGCAGCAATTCTTGCAAACGAGATCTTAAAGATTTCACCTTTATATTGGTACAATTGGATCTCAGTTAATTTTAATAAACGACATCTCTAGCCTCATATAGAGTTAATCTGGTAGATGACTTTCCAAAAACACTAGAAAGTAACCGTTCGGACGGGCCAGACCCAAAACCTGTATAGCACACATCCATTGCCATAAAAATGTACTCACCAAGAATGAGTTGCTAGGAATCGAACGGAATTTGGTATAAGTAAGTACAACGTTGACGAAAGTGAATGATTACAGAATAAAAGCAAAAGGATCATTTATTGCAGGGAAAATTACAAATGATCGGAGATTCTAGAAACTTATTGGATTATCTCTAGCGTGAATAGACAATGCGATATAGGAGGGCATTATGCTATAGAGATGGTGGCTCCGGTCTAGACATATAGTGTCCTTCGTCACCGTATTCCACAGTTGCCGTAAATGCGCCTCTAGTTTGATCCAACTTCTAGGATGTCCACCTGCCTGCCCCAAATCATCGCAAATATCGCTGATAGATCTCGAAATCGGGCAGGACATAGAAAGATGATAAATGGCGAAGGCATTTCTATGACACCCTGGAAATTTCTGTGACATCTTGTGTTATGTGACCGAGCATGTCCTGTTTCAGAATTTCTCCTGAAAAGGACCTGAAAAGAGCGTTGCTGTAGAAAAGAGATCGATTTCCACAGGGACTTACAAACTGCTTCATTTTTAATAAAAAGTTACGTTGAGGTGACAGCTGTAGGACTGTTAGAGAGACGACATATATCTTATTATCTTCTGTTTTATACCTTCTTGGTCTCCTGAGCGTTGCACAGGATCATTTGTATGTACCGCGACCGTTGCCAGATATATTTTTAATTAATCATATATCCATGCCAAATACTTTTAATATCTGTCCAATAATAGGCCAAATGGGAAAATTCTCTTACTTGCTTACTAGTGCATTTTTTTGAGGAAACGTTTTCACAGATTCGCATTTGTAGTAGTGTGACTAACAAAGTTTCTACTATAAAGTTAAACGATATACCTATTTCAAAGTACAAGTAAGTATTAATTAAAATTAGTACTTTTTTACTTGATCCTATGACTTCCCTTAATAGCAGGAATGTTATTAAAATATTAAGCTAAACTATGGATATAAATTCCATGGTAATATATATATATATATATTAAGTCTTATAAAGTGTACGAGCTTCATTATTGTTTGATCTCTTAAAAATATATTGCATTTTCTCGCATGTTAGCCCCCTTTTACAGCTAGATTCTAAAAATTTAAAAAATATTTTCATAATTTTCTGCTTCTCTATAGGGTATAATTTTTCCTTCTGAAGGCTAGTAGATTGTAAATTATATCTCTTGATTATTGTTATTTTTATACAGTGTATTCAGTCTGTATGCGCACTTTTCTAGTAACATTTTATCAATTTTATTTTCCCTAGCATTTATTATTTGAAACGTATTTTATCAGATTCTTTGTTGAGCTACCCGTACGTGACACATGTTCCAACCCTTAAACTTTCGGAACGTGTGATTTCACCGTGTTTCCAATACTTACGTTCCAGCTCATTGTAGCCTTACCTACAAAATCCAGGTCTTTTATTCGCCCCCTTTTCCTTTGTTCGTCCGATATCCCTCTTGGAAACTTCGGTCAGTGCTAATTCATTTGAGATAATCCTGGGGCTTTTACATGATAACTGATTCGGAGACGTCGCGCAGTACCGTCACATATCGGCTCAATATACGTGAGATATTATAATTTTCATATCTTTTTTGTGATGTATGTTGCTTTTAGAGAAGTATTGTGATAGTTAACAGTAGTTTATCCATCACTACTTTTCATTTGCTATATTCTTACTTCAACCCCATTCTTCGGAAATTAAATCACTTGCATAATTTTACCCTTCCTAAATTTGTTAACAAAATTAGTTAAAAAAGAAAAGCAGAAAATTCGAGAGTAATAGGGTGCATAATGAAAATTTTAGAACGAAAAGCAAAACTTTAAAGCATGAAGTAGCTCAAATTTTTATTCCAAATAAAAATTTTGTTTAAATCTCTCAAAAAATAAGTATTTTCATTAAAATGTAATTTAAAATTCTACCGACAGCGACAGCGCAACTTTTTTGTGGAGACTAAATGAATAAGGAAACCAAGAGAGGGCAAATAACTCCGTGATCAAAGAGATTTTAAAATACAGATTTGGAGCCTTTTTAGATTTTAACCTTATAGATGATAGATAATATCTGCTTTCATTTTTACCTAGAGAAAAACAGTGATAAAAGTAATTTCAACACAAATAGACGATAGTTTGCGTTTTTGAATATTCTAAATGAAAGAAATTCGTTTAATCGAGGAAAGCTGTCATTAGTTTTTAGTATATTTTGTTGAAAACATTCATCTCAACTAATATTTCTAATTTAGGATGTGCTTGTTCATAAGTTTTCATAACAAATTTCTTTATTTTCAAATACAATTAATGTAACTATTTGTGTTGTTTGTACTTTTGTTGTATATTCATTACCATTTAGTTATATATTTATTTTTATGCACTGTTTTAGAGTAATTACATGTTGATGTACTGCAAAACTTGCATAGTATTTAATTTATGGTTGTTTATATTTTATATATTAATTGCTTTATTATATTGTAGTATTTGTAGTAACTTATTGAGCATTAATCAGCTTATTGAGCGAGAAGATTGTTGAAGAAAATAAGCTGTTAATATCTGCCAACTTTTGGACATGAAATGTTTTTCCGCCAATTTTATTAACATTTGACCATTTCTGGTTAATATGCAGTCGTTAGGAAAATTTTAATTAAGCACATTTCTGAGATCCTAGGACTGATTTTTCTAGAATATTCTCGTAGTGATTTCCTCTTTCGATTCTCTTTGGCAACCATATAAATCTACTGCAAGCAAAAAGTCCTAATTTAGATGAGAATTTGTCTGAGTTTACTGTTCAGTGATGTTGCATTTGGTTTGAAGAGCAATTAACTTTCATAAATATTGTATTTCCTGGCATACTTCCCCCTCACTTATTTCCCCCTAGGTTTCTAACGCTAGATTCTTAAAATTTTTTCAATAATTGCAAAATACTCCCCTTCCTCTGTCGCTCATAGTTTTCTCTCTCATAGATAGCTTAATTTAAATTGTATTTCTTTTTTTATTTAGAGCATTCAATTTGTATTTGCATTTTTGTGTTAGCATTTCATCTACTATTTTTTTCCTTGCATTTTGTTAATTGAAACGTATTTTGTGTAGATTTTTCGTTAAGGAATTATCGGGGAACGAAGGTATTCTCACACTTAAGGAATTTCGCAAACATATGATTTCACCTTTCTGCTTTTATTTACGTTCCAGCTCATTATTGCTTTATTTATTTCTGATGTGTTCGATCTTTCAAAATCCGGGGGTTTTGTTCAACCCTTCTTCTTTTCTCTGCTGTCAATCTTGGGAGCTGAGGTCAAGAATTAGTCATGTCAAGAATTGCTCCTCGGGCTTTATAATGACTGAGCCTCACACGTCTCACAGAGCGAGATGTGTCCGGCTCACTACCCGTCAGATATTGTAAAGTTAATATTGCTATGTATTCTCATTGGAATGTGGTGTTCTTCTTAAGAAATAATATTTTAGTATTTTCAAATTTATCCATGACTATTTTTTATTTGTTACGTTCTTACTGCAACCACATTCTTCGGGAATTAAATTATTCACATAATTTTTTTCTTTGACGAATTAATAAGTTATATGCTTCTCATTCAAACAAAAATTATTTGAAGAGATCTGTTTCGAAACATGAAAAACTTGCCCTGGAAAAATCTCAAATTGATATAAAGTAAATCTTTAACACAATCATCAACTAAAATGAATGCTTCTGAATTTTAATAACTTTCGGAAATGTATCATTTAGAGAACCGTCTTTAGGTGCATAACATGAATAAGTATTTATAACGATATCTGCATATAGGAATTCATATCTGCCAACGATAATTCATTTCTGGACCTAGAACAAGATCTAGCAGCCGTTTAAAACATATTTAATCAGACCATCATTTTTCAACAATCTGGCATTACATTTTGTACATATCCCAAATTACAAGGAGGAAAAGGAAATTTGTAAAAGCGTAATGGTAAAAGGCTTTCACAAATGTTACCTGAAAACACGTCT